CTATAATTTAAATATTCCAAAATTTGCATAATTCTTTCATTTTTTCTCTGGCGATTTGTCTTGGATATATAACAAGCTTAGAACAAGTTATAAAACTACTGCATTAATTATTGCTTAAAGAGTACTGGGTGTGGTGGGTTTAGATTGCTCTTCTTCATCAAAATAACTGCTAATTATGATTATCTGCCATAGTATTTTGTACTATACGCTGCAGTACTTGGCCCTACTACTAATTGTTCAAGAGTGTGAAAGTTTGATTGATACCCGTCATCGTTTCAGTTTAAAAAAATTACCTTTTGATTTAAAGCAGCAAATTATGAATGAATGTAATTCATCATTTGTCAAATATTATGTAGCAGCCCGTCAAAAGGTAAGAAAGTGTACTCATTATATTCTGACTTATCAAATTGATATACATATATCATGATAAAGATTAAGGACTTGAAATATTGTGAGTATTAGTCTGTTAGTTATAGTTAAAAATTACATATATATTTATGATTATATTAATAAATTATGTAGTAATGTAATGTAGAAATTTGTAATGCTATGCAATAGTCTTCTACAAGATATTGTAAATCAAAGTCAGAAAGTATTGTGAGGGATTAGCGATTATGATGATCAAAACTGATAAGATAATTTAGTATGCAAAGTATTACTGCACTTTGATAATTGAATGCATGAATTTTTTAGTTGGAATTGAATGCAAAGGAGAAGACTACATGTCCTGTTGAAGTCCAAAATTGCGTTCTATCGAAAACAAATCCATTTTTGGGAAAATGCAACATTCAATGTGAATACATTGGGAATAAAGCAAAATTTAACGTTGACTGCTGGAATGATGATTGTTTACGACGTTTCTCTCGTGTTTGTGAAGACATATTCTGGCGCAGGATAAGAACAAGTTCTACCGAGAAGAAGAAAATTAGATGTAAAAAGGAACTTAAGCATTGTTATTCATTAGCATGCTTAAAATGTCTGGGTCGAGAGTGTACATTTAAATGCTATAACAAGGGCATTCGATTCCACCAGCTTCTGGATCCACAATGGAAAGGCTTTTCTGAGTATAAAAAATACTTTCCTGAAGTTGATGATATCATTCAACAAAATACTATTATTGAAGTAAAAGAACAAATTGACGATGATGATGAATAATTTTGATGTAATTAATAACTTAATATAATTAATCGGAATTTCTCCTGCACCATTTTTTTGCATCAAATTTAATCCTTAACTTTTCTGCTTATGTCTTAACTTTATACTTGTAATCAATACAGCATACTAATAATCAGAACATGAATTAAATAACTATAAACTTTGCAATATGACATAACACTTTTAAAGTGCGCTCAGTTAATCAGTAATTTTGTTGAGAAAATGAGGAACAAATAAATTTTACAAGTTTCTACTAATATGGATAAAAAATTAATATTTTAATTATAAGTATTTCTTAAGCAATAATGAATTATTGAATTACTCAATAATTACAAGTACAGTTTATATGATTGCAAACGGCAGAGAAGCAAAATCATTCCGCAATAATTAATACCACAAAAATTCATGCATCTTTGCGGTTGATAAGATTAACCGATTGTTTCCGATTTGAAATAATCAAGCAAACAAAAAATTAAGTAAGTAATTTATTATTAAACAAAGCAACAAATGTTTCCACAATAATTTGAAAAGAATTTAATATATATTTAAAAGTAATAATTTTATATAATAATAATAATAATAATAATAATAATAATAATGTCAATTATAAGATGACACAAATATAAACTGTCTACTTTAAATATAATAAGTTTAATAATACACAACAAAATCGCTACAAATGACAAATAACAATGATAATAGCTTAGTGTGATTCTACACCTTTGCACAAAAATGAATAAAAACAGAAGCCATACTTGAAAATCGGAAAATTTTCAAATAAAACTCTGTGTACCAATTACTTGTTTTATTATAAATCAAGAATGGTCTAAAAAGATAAAAGAATTATCAGCAAGATAAGGAAGTGATTTGCGAAGTATCAAAATGGATATTCGATTGAATATGTGCTACTCCTTTTAGTTCATGTGAAGATAATCTTAGATTAAAAAATAAATAGAGATTAATTGTTGAGATAAACTTAGCTTATAGTCATACATTCAACGACTCTTTACTTGTGTTAAAAGAAAACATAATACTATGCTCTATTTTCGATAATGAAAGTGGAAAGTATTCATCATCAATGACTGAATGTGAAGTTTCTTGCTTGCATCATTCTTATGATTTCTGACATTTTTATTACTGCCTCCATGACTGTATTAGCTGGATGAAAAATTGATAATGACAAATTATTTCATCCATAATAGATAAAATTTAATAATTACTAGATGTGATAATTTATTAAAGAACTTTACATATAATTCTAATTAATTATCTAGCAGTCTTGGATTGCCAGATTTAGTATTTACTTTTACTACAAAATTGGAAATAATTTATAAAAACATATCCTCCAAAAATTTGTTGAAAAATAAAGAACCTTTCTCTTAATAATATGATTTGCATAATTCTGTGAGCAAGCACACAAATACACACACACACTTTACAGTTTGCATAAATAATTAAGTGATCTCTTTTTTAAACAGAAATTCTTTACGTTTTTCCATACTTCCTTACTTTTTTATGACTTACGCGTACAGCCCCCACATATCCGCTGGAATACTACGCTATATAACAGAGTACAGTCGTTTTGACGCCACATTTTAAGCTTGTAGCGACCGTCTTGAAGTATGCATGCAGACCTTTATTCTGCACATCAACTTTATTCGGTAAAAATTGTTTTATTGCGTGGTATAGCACGTTTCCCACATTCGTGTAATTCAAACTCTACTATGTGTTGAAGTAATCTTTTATAACTTGCTATAAATATGAATTCTGAAAAGCCATTTGACAACTTATTTTTGTCAGTGGCAAAAAGTGGAAACAAACTTTATAATTTCAGCTTCCAAGTGCTCTAATCATCAAAAAGTGATAAGCATGATGAGCTATTGCTGTTTAAAAAAATGATATTGTAAAGCAGAAGACATCGGGTAAGTTTAATATATGTAAGTATTATTGAACTTAAGCGTATTTTTATAATGTAGAATTGCGAATGGTAAGAAAAGATAGAATGATGCAAAACAGTGTGAAAGGTCAGATGGAATGAAGCGAACTACAAAGTGTCACTAAGGAACTTATTCTTCAGCAAAAAGCACGTCATTGCTAAGACAACATTAGTTAAAGACTTTTTGATCATCTGTAAGTGTATTGAACTCGTAGAAGTATCGTAAATCTTTGATCATCAAGGTATATCTGCTAATTAATTAAGTTTGTGCTCAGCTATCAACGCATGAATAATTAGTACAGTAATTATCTGCCATAATTACTTTCCTAATTACTGTACACTCATCAATTGTAAAAATCTATTTTTGGTAAAAAATAGCGAAAGCGACATGTGCAAAATTGACATCGTAGATTCAGTAAGCATGAAAGTTTGATTCACTTCAGTTGTTACGGTACCCGAGGATGGACTGTTTAGCGTTTCTTTTTCTTTTTTGCTAAAATTTTTTCTTTGTACTACAAGGCAAGTAAGTAATTACTACACTGCGGTCTTCGTGAAGAAATGGAAATGTTTTACGCTTTGTAACACAAACATTTAAGCGTAAATGCAAGATGAATTTAAAATAATTAATGCTTACTTTTTGAAGTTCTTTTCTTGGCTACTGGATGCTGTTGAACTGGTTTAGTTCGTTGCATGCGAGTTTGCAAAGGTTGCAGTTGGGATGTAGAAGATTGTTGTTGCTCTAAGAAAGGTGATGTAGAAGACAGCTTTGCCGATGCAGAGGTATCTGATAGTTGCGGTTGCGGTGTGGAAAGTTCCAATTGTGGTATAGAAGATTGCAGCTGCGATGTACAAGGTTGCGGTTGTGGTGTAGAAGGTTGCAGTTGCGATGCAGTAGGTTTCGGTTTTGGTGGGGAAGGTTGCATTTGCGGTGAAGGTTGCGGTAGCGAAGTAGGAGTTTGCGATAGCGGTGTAGAAGTTTTCGGCTGCAATATAGAGGTTTTCAGTAGCGGTGTTGATTTCGGCTGCGATGAGTGTTGCGGCTGCGTTGTAGAAAGTTGTGGTTGCGGTGCAGAAGATTGCAGTTGCAATGTAGAAACTGCCGATAGTACTGTAGAAAATTGTTGCAATAAATGAGCTATGGAATTCTGTGGTTGCGATGAAAAGAGTTGCGGTTGCTGAAAGAAAGCTTCAGATTGCAATTGTTAGCTTCCAAGTACAATGCTGATACATAGTTGGTGCAAATATTTTGAGAGAATTTATGATTTATATTAAGAAAGGATGCAAAGTGGCTTGATTCTCTGATGTCTGAAAGAAGGATTAGCAAGTTTCAGTGCAAACGAGGAATCATATGAAAAAAAATGTAACTCACTTAAAATTACTAGCTCAAACTGTTAGTTATTAATACTTTTAAAATCACAAATAATACTCGAAAATTATTCACTAATCAAATTTGATCAGTCAAATACACGTACAAATTAGAAAATAATGCTGCAGACATTAGAAAAATTAATATTTCTGAGGTAAGTATGCAGAAGACATAGATCAGATATGAGCTTAATAAGTGATCAATTCATAATTAATTGATAAAAACCATTTTCATCCTCTCTTCAAATTTTTGAATTTCTTGCTCTATGGAGATGTTAGAGCCAGCGCTTTTTTGACGTTCTTCAACGATACGCTCCCTCTCTAATCTTTCTAACGTTGAAAATTGAAAATTTTCTGCTATACGCTTCAATTGCTTTATTCGTTTGTTCCTTTCTTCCAGCTCCTGAAAAAGCTCTCTACTTCTGTACAAATAATTAATGAGTGTATTCAGTAAAATTAGTAGCATAATTACTTAATCTTATTTTATTTAATTAATTATTATTACTTACACTTACCTTATTAAGCGCTTCATTTTCGGTTACCAACCAATTCAAAAACTTTTTCAAGATATCGTATTTCTTGTATGCTTCTACGTTTAAATTCATCTGCTGTATTTCTACTACAGACTTCAAATTTTCCATACATCTCATTGCTTGCAATATCTCCTGAAATGAATGCAAAAGATTTGTTATCAAAAATCATTAAGTTTATTTTTGTTTACAGCTTATCCAAATTCTCTACAGGTAGAAACTATAATCTTGTATCATCAATGAGCTAGAAGTACACTTTATTTTATCATCAGAAAATGTTTCTTACCATCAACTATATTAGTCTGGCAATTTTATGATATCTTAAAAATATTTCGCTTTATTAAAATTTACTCATCAATTACTTCACGTTTTCAATCCAAGTATACCATTTGCAGTTGAATTAATTAATTCAGTACTATTACTTCATAAGCAGAATTTGACATATACTTATTTACCTGTTGGGTAGTGCAAGTAAATTGTAAGTCTTCGCTTAAAAACTGCATTACTTTCCTTAACTCTTGTAGTTCAGTTTTATATACAGCACCACTTTCTGTTTCTTCGATTTCTTGATCACTGAATTCCTCACAGAATGATTCAGAAACATTCAAGGCTTCCATGACCTCACCGACTTTTTCTCTTTCAGTAACTTCTAAGTTGTCGCATACTACGTTTTTTGCTACGTCTTTCTTTTTTCCCCTCTTTTCCTTTCCGTTATTTAAGAACTCTTGTAACTTACACACGAGAATTGGCCAGTCTTCTAACGAACTCTGTAATATCCAACACTGGCGAAGACTATTACATTACATTACTAATTTTGTCGCCAAACTTCAACAAAAAAATCTATTTTTTTTAAATTAAACGATAATTTTATGCTGCAAAGTTTATGAATAAAAAATAAGAAAATATTACTTTTTCAACTATTGTCAAGCAATCCATTAACTTTTTCAAGGTATTTTCTATTTTTGATACTTTTACTTTGGCTTTAGAGTTCACTAGTTCGTACACATGATTGTAAGCATCCTAAAATTATGAGTTAAAGAGAACAAAGAGGTAATTAGTGATTGTACTAATACAGTGCTTCTTTCTACGTCACATTATTCTATTCATTAAATTGATCAAAGTTTAAGTACTTCAATACTTCAGAAACCATTTTGCAAACTGAGTTACATACCTGAAACCATGTCCAAATAGCAGTGGTATCTTTATTTAAATTTTCGTACAACTCTTTTTCACACTGAAAATGTGCTCGAAAAATTGACTTTACCATTTTTTTCCTGTCATCCATTTCTGCTTTTACTATTGATTGTAGCTGAACAAAATTCTTGGAATATATTTAATAATTCACCAGAGTATTTGAATACAATTGCCACTTTCATCATTTATCAGAAATAGAAATTAACTGATATATTTATTATAAGTTGATATGATTCATTATCATATTTATTGTTATAATCTTTTCAATTTTTAGGGATAATTAATGATAAAATTAAAATTATCCGTTAAATAAAATAAATTTTTTGAAAGTCATTAACATGAAAAAAAAGTAAAAATTACGGTATATATTGAAGAAATTAACACAACTGTAAAAATTATTTGCAAAAATTAACACAACGGAGTACTCTTTACCATGTATAGAGCTAATATAATCTGATAAGATTACTGGATTTTATTTATCAGTCTAAGAAGGAGTGGTAAAGAATTGATTTTACCATCTGTTGACGTCGTCTGTAGTCTGATAATTCTTCAATCATTGAATCAAACAAAGAAATTTCATTGCGAATAATCATTTCTTTTGTTTTATTGAAGAATACAGCTGCTAAGTGAATGTCTGCAGTACGGTATTTTTTCATAAGATCTCGAACTTGATGAGCAATTTTTTCTTTCAATTCACTGCCTCGTTTTTGCAGACTTTTTTCTAGTGCTTCTTGCTCAGCACTTTTCTGCTCCAAAGATTCTGAATCCTCTATCAATTCATCTTCTAATTCCATCTTTCCTTTAAATACAAGTTTGAATAGATCTTGCAGAAGATTAGCAAGTTTACTCTTGTATTGTTTTTCAGGTATTTTTGCGCGAAGATCTTTAAATAATAGGAAATAATTATTGGCAATTTTGCTTATTTCTTCCACAAATGACTGAAGAGTTTCATTTTCAGTAGTTTTTTCCTTTTCTTCAGCCACCAATAATTTTATCATTTGACTCATCATCACGTTCATTTTTTGTACCATATCCGAGTACTAAATTTAAAAAATTATGTTGTACTCACAAAATACGCTACAGTATATGGAAAGTTAAAGTTCAAAAAGCTAAATGCTAATAACAAAGACTGATTATTATGTTGTTCATTAGATTTGAATATAATGCTTAGAGACTAGAAAAAAATCAAAAATAAAAATAAATTGAAAAAATTTTTCTTTCTATCAAGTTTTTTAGTAATTTTGAACACAAATAGCAATGTTTTGACTACCTTACCTTTTTTCTAAAATAATTATCCTCATTTTTGAGCCTGTATATCAAGGCTTTCATCTCAGTCATCACACTGTCAGCTTGTTGCAACTGTAAAATATCATTCAATGTATTAAAGGTTAAGTCAGCCTTGTATTTTTGAATATTATGATGTGATGACTCAGTATCACTTGCCTAATATGGAAATTAGACTCTTTCATGAATTGCCAAAAAATTAGCTTTTTTACTGCTAATTGCTTTTGCATCTACTTTCTGCAATACAAGCTTATTAAAAAATATGCATAATATTAAGTCAAATATTGCACAGTTCGAAAGTTACATCTTGCTGAAGTTGGCCAACTTGCTCAGTTAATGCGTTTAATTTTTCGTCTAAATCTATTTCAGTCTTTAGTAAAGATCTTTTTTCTCTTTCCTGATTAGTTAATATTCTTTCCTGCAAAAAATTCTCTCATACTATTATTGCTAATCAGAACAAAAACTTAAGTTATGTAATAAATTTCCAAAATTATAATTTAAAAAAACTTCTCAAATAGCTAATTTAATGTAAAATAGCTTAGAATGAAGTACTAAAGTTATTAAGAAATAAAATAAAATGCTTATATATTTACTTATATAATAAAATAATAAAAAATAATAATAAAATGCTTATAATAATATGCTTTATATATATATATATTCAGTCAAAGTAGTGAAAAATAACTTAATCAAATAACTTAATTGTATTTTTATTGTAACTGAAAACAAAAGTTATGAGGTAAGTTGCGACTTACATTTGCGATTTGAAAATTCGCAAAGTTTGAACCAGTTTTCCTGAAATCCATCTTCCTTTCTTCCACAAGTTTATCAAGTTCACTCATGTACAGTGAGCAATCTTTTTGGAGAAAGGCCCGAGACAATGCATGATATCGCCATGAGTACAGAGACAGATCATTTAATAATAACTCATATGTGTCTACGATGTCTGGATGAGCAATAAATCCTGGGTACATGGAAAGTTCGTTTTGTAATTGATGCATCGATTCTTGCAGTAAATAATCATGATTTATCTCTTTAATTCTTAAAATTTCATTCATTCGTGTTATTTTTAATAGTACTGAATCATGATATAATTGAGCTGTTTGCTCTAAATTCAAAGCAGCATCTTTTTGCTCACATCCATTGATAGTCTCAATTTGAGGATTCTGATCCATTTACAAATTGCTAATCTTCAGCAATCACTCAGTGTTTTCAATACGTTTTATAATATTGCAAGAATTCAATAAAGAGTACGAATTTTTTATTGATTCCTCTTTTTAAAAATAATCATATATTTGACTAATAATTATAATTTGATTGATATCGTTTGTTGTCCTGAATTCACTTTTTGTTTGTTTGTTTTTTCCCTCTAAAATAAGTTCACCTGAAAAGAAAACAGATTCAGTAACTTCGAAATCTTTCAGTTCATAAAAATGAAATTTTTTAATGCCAAACATATCTTGGAATTAATCATTATTACATGAAATATGTGAGAGTTTTGCTTGTGAAAACTGCTAAACTTATTAAAAAATATCAGAAATTCCAGTGTGTATATTTCGATTCTGTTAGTAATAAAATAGATTTTCAAATCACTCAGTGTTTATATTTCGATTCTGTTAGTAATAAAATCGTTCTGAAATCTATGTGTTAAGACTTAGTTTTAAAAAAATCAAATATATAGAATTAATAAAAATCAATCAATCAATCGACAAAATATTAGCATGCAGATATGGTCAATAGTGTAGGTGGATAAATAAAGTAGATAATAAATATGAACATTTTTGCTATAATTTCCCGGTTTACTCAATTTTCCCGGTTAAAGTGAGTTTTGACTAAATCTTAGAAAAAGATAGAGCAAAAGTTTTTATAATAAAGTAAGTGAAAAGTTGGCAAAGAAAACTTTAAACTTACTACTTTTATGCAAGGAATTGATTACAAAAATTTAAGCAGTAATTTGAATTGTCATTCAAAAATGTTTGCCACATTATCAGTTTTGTTTTACACCAAAAAGAGATATTGTAAAAATTATGTTCAATTTATGATTTATTACAATTATTTGTTTTTAAAAGTATAATATACTTTTACTTCAAACCTTAAGGAAGAAAGTTATCCAATTAGCATAATAATAGCAACTAACTGAATACTACAAGTAATTCAAACCAAATAAATTTGTGTTAAGTAGTTGTTTTCTATGCACGTTAGTCCAATTTTAGTTTACAGAATTGTTAACAGAACAAATTTCTTGCTGATCGCAAATTGATCTTAAATAATTTCAGTTATGAACTTATTGACTTCATTATTATTAATTTTCGATCATTTGACATGCTGCAATCATATTTTGCATTATTCTTTCTTGCGATATTTATCAAAATTGATATCAGAAGTAATCAAAATTCTTATCAGTAATTTCGCAAAACCTAAATATACAATTAAAAATATTAAAGTCACAAATATCATTATTTGATATTAATAATCATTTTGCTAATAGCAGGTTGAGTTTCAACAATATTATTAGTTAACTTTTATTGCAAATAATTAAATTTAAAGTATGTAATCCAATGAATAGCACTAATATTGCAACATAATAAAAATCAAATTAAGTTAAAGCGCAAAAAAGCAATGCAAGAATTATTTTTGTTTACAATCACTATAATATCTGAAATAAAATGCATCGTTTTTTCACTTTCTTCTAAGAATTTGGATTATTAATTACTTAAAAAGTGTAATTTATATTAAATAAGTGATTTTGCCTAGTCATCTATCACTTGTCATTGTATTATATCTTAAAATATAACGAAAGTAATTCTGCTAATTATTTGAAATCTATTTCAATAGAATGAAACGTTAGGAAAAGACGAACACAATGACAAGTCAAAAATATAATTTGGAGATTTGATGGCAAATTTTGTTTTTATTACTTTGCAATAATTCACAGATTAAAAAAATTGTTTTGACAAGTAGTGTAGGTGGATAAATAAAGTAAATAACAAATATGAGTATTTCTGCTATGATTTTCCGGTTCACTCAATCTTCCCGGTTAAAGTAAGTAAGTTTTGACTCAATCTGAAAAAAAAGAAATCAAAAAATATAATTTGGAGATTTACAAAACTGCTGCGTTTCTGTGTAATTCATTGTTTCTTAGTTTATAACAAGCGTTTTCAAACACTGCAAGGAGTTTTATTGTTGCTTAAGAAGAGATACTGTAGCTTCAATATTTAACCGTACAAACTTGTTGAAGTAATCTCAGAAGCAAAAGAGTAATTTGAAATGATTCTAAAGTTTATCATCGATTTTGTAAGTTTTTATTATCAAATGATCAGATATGAAAAAGAGTAGAAATTTTGAAAGAATCTTCAATAGTTCTGTTAAGATTTAAACTCATTTATTTTCAAATCTGTAACCTAAATCTGGAAAATGCGCACTATTTGAAGTGTTTTTTGAAATTACTCTTAAAAATACCAAAAAATTAACTTAATTTATGATTATTGAAATTTTCTTTGCTCTCATAAAAGTTTACAGTTTATCTGACTACGCGCAAAAATAATTTCAAGCAATTTCTAAAGTTATTTTGGAAATAAATTTTAAAAGACATTATTAGACTTTAAAAAAATTAAAATATCACTTTCATAACTTTATTTAATGGGTTTCGTGAAATGAGATTAACTCTATTTCTACTCTGTGGTAATTTATTTTTTGATTTGGGCAAAAATGTCTAATACAAGCACATCAATCTTACATTCTACGCAATAAATGACCGATAAACTTCACATCCAGAGGGTCATTTAAATGTCCATTTTGTTCAACAGCGAAAAGTCAGTGATAAAAGATATTAATTATAACGAATTTTCCCGGAAATAATTTCGTTTCTGTTTTTAACTGAACAATTTTTATCTAAATTTTCAGCCTTTTTTTGAATAACTGCAAAAAAACCCTTGTTAGGTATATTTTTCTACAATACTTTGCTTATTTTTCAGCAAAAACGAATCACTGTTGTACATAATTTACTTGTCCAGCACTTGATTCTATCTACACTGAGAACACCATTAAGCCTTCTGTGTAGCACTAACTAATACTTTGTTGATTAACTGATTTTTTACAGTTCTCATATTTTTTATCTTCAGCAATCTCTTAGCTTTTTTGTAATAAAATTGTAAGTTTGAGTTTTAAAATTAGTACTTTTTCAGTAAATAGCAAACTTTAAATGTGATCATCTTAAGCTGAATTACAAATTGCTTTGAACAGCAAAATTATGCAATATTTGAATTCAGAATGGTAAGATCGTAATTCAAATCGGTTAGCATTCTCAATTAAGAATGCTTACCTTAGCGGTTTGAATACATTATTCTTGAAATATTTGACGGTTTATTAAAATTTTGGAATGCAAATAGTACTGAAAGAATGCATAGAACTATTAATATCATATTAATATTGAACTATTAATACCGAACTATTAATATCGAAACAAAATTCTATAAGGAGTAATAAAATATTTAATTAATATCATATTTTTTATGGCTAAAAATGGATTTTTCAGTGTTTTATTTGTGAAATAAATTTATAATTTTACTCTAATTGTATGCGTTTTGTTGTGCATGTAAAGTTAACATTGCAAGAGAAAAAAAAAGTTAAAACTACTGCCTTTCAAGCAATTTGCTTAAAATTTTAGTAAATAAGTAATTAACTAATTTAGTAATTAATTTAATCATAATTACACTTTACGAATTTATATATATTTATTTACAAGTGTGCATATAAGACAGTGCAATAATGTTTTCAATTTGATAGCACTAAAATAAATTCGTAAGAGTGTAATAAGCAAAGAGCATTCTTCATTCACTCACTGCTCATTGCCTTTCAAAGATAAATGAACTGACTAACTAACCAACTATATTCTCTTAAAGTAATGTTGTTATTGCACTCATTTCAGCGATTCAGTCTTGCACTTCATTATATTTCTGTCTTATGTTAGTTATCGCAGTCTGTTCTAACTCTAATTCTTCCTCTTATTTTAAGATATTAACTTAAGGTCAGTCAGTATTGATTCTTTACTCATTACACTTTCATTGCTAAGATAGAAAAAGTGACTGAATCTTACTGATGATAATGCTTTCTACTTTATATGCAACACAAACTTTCATCTTCATTAATCTATTCTATTTATTCTCTTCCAATTTCATGGATTACATGAATATTTTAGTTATGAAAAAATATTTTTTGATTTTTTCTAATTAATTACGTTATGAGATTTGGAGAAAGTAAGAGGGCAAAGGTTATAAAATTGCTTATAAGATAAAGCATGCAGTGATTATCACAAATCTCTCCACATTCTTTGCGTGTATTTGTTAAAAATGAATTTTTTATGTGTGTTATTTTTGCTTTCATCTTTTTCCTCGTGTGTTTTTCTTCCCACTATTTATATTCTCCAACATCCTTTACTCTTAAATCTATTCTAATTTTTGTCCTGATCTCTTTCACTTTTTTTATTTTAATTTTTGCATCACCATTAATAATAAATAATAATAATAACAATATATTATTAGTATTATTATTAGCGGGAACAAAAACATGATAATGATATTATTATTATTGGTATTATCATTATTATTATTATTATTATTATTATTAATGGGACTCGTCAAAAAGTATAGTCTGAAAGCATTCCCATGCATGTGAAGCCATTCTGTTCAGGAAGTCGTCGTGAATGAGAACGTTGAAATCAGAGAGTCGATACGCAAGTGAGAATAGCTGTAAAGATAAGTGCGGACCGACCAAATATATGATACACGATAAGAAACGACGTGAAGTAATCCTGATTGAGGTTGACATCACTAGTCAGGACAGGCTGACAGCAGTTGAGACTGAGCAAAAACGAAAATATGTCCTACTTGGTAATAAGCTTTCGTCAGAGATGAAATGTATGACCAAAATAATTCCGTACGTGATGACTTGCGATGGGATTGTAACGACTTCCATAAACGCTATGCGAAAGAGATTAGTACATCAGACCACGTCGAGGCATACATGCAGTCGATATTTCTCAAGAAGACGCTCGAAAGCATCTCCTTCGACAATTGATATGGATTCCACGGGGATGAAGCGAGAACGATGAGTACAACAAATCTGAGTGCGGGACAAGTACATACAGCCAGAGTGCCGGAATGCGATTCAGCTCCAGAATGAATGAAGCGAAAACGAAAACTGACCTCTACATTTTTGTTCAATTATATTCGTCATGATTTTTCGCCACTTTCTCCAATCATTTATTTCATTATTATCATAGAGCTGAGACAGTAAAATGAACACGGCTTTTATAAGGGTCACTTTTTTGATTTGCATAGTTAAATTAATTGGGTGGCGTGTGCATGCCCGAATATTTGAATAATTATTCACTAATAATAACGATAATGATATAATTAATTAGTCATCACTTAAAGATTGGGTGTATTTAATGATAAATTACATATAATGCAAACTTATGCAAGCGACTATTCTCACACTTAGCGACGAGATTGTTATTTACAGCAAAAATGTTATTTATATCTGTTATTGCTAAATATATTAATTCTCGTTTCAATTTATGATTGCAATAATAACTGAAGAAAAATATCGCAACCCGCAAGGAATGTCTGCTAGTTACAAATTTAAATTACCTTTCAACAATATTAATTTGCTGATTTGCTGATGACATAGATGTCTTCGAAGCGTATTCCTTTCTAAATACAAAGATCAAATAAAAAGATTCAGTATCACTTGCAGATTCAGAAACTTGTCATCAATGAATGTGCATAGAAAAATTTGGTGGATTAATTTTCAAATATGAAAAAATTGATTATTCAATAGACGACATTGGACTTTAGTCGGCTTCTAAACTTTTTTCACTTAACTAATCAAGTCAAATATCCTAGAAATGTTCAGCTTAGACCAAACTTTAATACTGCTTTTCCTTTTTTTGTTTTGCTAATTTTTGTGTATTCAAATTTTAGGTGCGATTTTTAAGATTTTTTTTTGCGGAAATGAATTTAAATACTTATGGAAACATGAATACAATTAGAGTTTAAAAATGATAAGAAAATAATAATTATGAGATTACTTCGTGTCTCAAAAGTACGGAAAAATTAATTGTTAGTATTGGTAAAAGATGCAAAAATGTTAATTGAAGCTCTGAATTCACAATTAAAAAGACAAACATGGATTTTCTGCACTTTTTTATTTTTCTAAACTTTGAAATCCATCATGAATTTTGTTTGTCTTTTCGAGAAAGTTTCGAACATTTTCACAAAAAAGTCAGTGCGAAGCATAAATATACAATCATAAAGACAGTAGTAGAATAGTGTTAATTCATTTTCGATTATAATTATCCAGTAGTGATGATCATCAGTGTGATGATGATGAGATAAGAGTATTTGAAAACCATTTCATCTTTTTTTGATTGAAAAAAATTAACACAACTGTGGTACTTATAGCTAAAATATTATTTGTTGACAAACAAATAAGGTGTATGATTTTATTTGTTTGTATGATGAGTTGAAGTGTACTGGAAATTAAATTTAAATTGGTAATTTACCTTTTTTATATTCTTTAATTTGTAAGAATGGTAGCCCTTTTTCCATAATTCTTCGAATAAATCTAAAATATTAGCTAGCATTTATGATGTTTTTGGAAGACAATTTTTTTCTTCTGCAATCTTTCTATTCATTTTGGCAGGCATTTTTTAAAGAATTTTGTTACATATATTCAAGTATTTGAATTTCGTATGAAGTAAGAATTAGGTTGTTTTGCTGCGCATTTTTTGCATAATTCTTTACGAAAAGTAAAACGGCCGAGAACAAGAATTTTGCGCATCATGTAATTGCATAGTTTTTTAATGCTTTTTCGATACAATTTATAAAAATAAAACGAAAGAAAAAAACAGTATTCAGGTGAACTTTTGCAGTGGTACTGCAATCTAGTACCACGAAGTACCAGCTACTAGTCAAATGTAGTACCATATGGTACCGATTCATATAGGTCAGTTTAGAGGAATAGAGAAGGTTTTATTCTACTCTATTTCTATGCTTATCACTTATCTATCTCTTTTTGATCTTAACTTGAAATAAAATTTCACTCTACTGATTCACCGTGCAAACAATAATTGCAATAAAATAAGAATAAATATAAAATAAAGTAGACTGCAATAAAATAATATATTGAATAAACTAGATCTAGATCTTATACTAGTAACATAAGACCTACTTTTCGTACGTAATGTTGTGTAATCTTTCTTTGGTACCACTCCAAAACGTAACTTTTACTGTTTTCCTCAGTCGGCACTGCACCACCAAACATTAGTACTACTTCTCATTCTGTCAAGGACAATTAATGCACGCACACCTTCCATGCACACATCCATAGGAATGTGCACACTCATACACTCACACACTCACACACTCACACAAATACACGCAAACATACATTTTTATGTTAACACACAGACGTTTGTTACAAAGATGCACACACACACACACTCACACACACTCACACACACACTCACACACACACTCACACACACTCACACATACTCAAACATATTCAAACACGAATATATATACGTACTGAAGACAAGCGTACATATGGGATAGACAAGACACATTTGAAGTGTGGAATGCGGAAAATGTCGATTTCATGGAACCCTCATCAGAGTACCACTGCATTGATTTTGGGGTGTTTGACACATGTCGACGTGTAATGGGGTATGTATTATGTGTTTGTTTGTACGTGAATGAATTATACGTAGATAACTGTGCGCATCAATGCAGGCGTATGTGATTTAAACTATGCATGAGCATAATGCAAAATTGTATATGTACTTTATTATGTAATGTTGATGCATAGAATAATTGTGACTTAGTAAATATCTATAATCGCAATCTGCATTAAACTTTCTGGATTTTTGATCTAAATTAGGATTTATGACATTATCTATCACTTAATTAGTTGTAAAAAGGCAATTGAAATTAGATAATCTGAAATTTCTAAAAAGCATTTACTGATTAATTTAAAATTACTCAACTTCGCTCGCAAGGTCGTTAAGCAATTAAAATTTTCGATACTTTACGATTTTAGCATTCAGTCTAAAATGTTTTATTTTTCAAATGAGTGTGCATTTCATGATATTTTTTACGATATTATTTTGAGACAATATTTATCACGAAAACTTCAACATGATTACTTGCATAAACGTTTTTATGAAATTTAAAGATTTAAATAATGAATTTATTGCACAAGTATTTATTGTATTCCAAAATTAAAAACTACCAAATTAATATTTTGAACCGTTTGAATTTTATGGATGCAGATGAGGGGAATATGAATACATTCAGCAGGGGAAATTGTCATTTTTAACGAGCACACTGCATGAAATGGATGCATTGAATGTAAAGAATTCTACGATTACGTTGAGTAGAACGAATTCAGTGGATAAATTGAGTACAGTAGACATGTGCAGTACAACAACTACTGAGGATTACGGTGAACCAGTTTACGTGGAAGCTCACGGTGGAAAGAATCATGTCATTATGTATCGATCGAGAAGTAATCCTGAATTAGCTATAGAATTCTTTTTCCGGTTTGTGACCTTACTTTGTTACCATTCGTACCTTTTTATTCCGCTCACCAAAGATATATTGTTATTATCCTTAATACTTTTTTTTTCATTCTTCAGGCGAAGTTATTGAAAAAGTTATTATTTGACATTCCAGTCGAGCATTCTGAATTGGTATTATTCTTTATGACTTCATTTTTTTGAGGTGTTTTTGAATAATTCTAATTCTATGGTATAGTTCATTGTCATTTTGCTATGTTGCATTGCCATTTTGCCTGATTTCAGATTTGACTTCTATTTTTATAAATATTTGTTCGTTTGTTTAAAATTTCTGTTTGTGTTTATATTTGAAACATTTTGGTATGTGTACATTTCAGTTCATCATCTAAAGATGGTCGCTCACGTTACTATCGTTGTACGAAATGTTGGTACAAATATAAACTTAACCGTGGAACATGTGCAACATTGATTGTTCGTGATGGCCGAATTATAACAGATCCAGAAAATCCAGTAGTTCCTCATCAATGCGAGTTTCGGTCTTTAGAAAGTGTAAAAGCTAACCGGGCATGGATAGCTAGTAGAAAACGAAGCATTAAAAATACTACTCTGGAAGATTTATATGCAACAGATACCTCAGCAGTCATCAAGAATACGTTAGTTATTATTCTTCTCAGATTTCATTTTTTATAGTCTACTTTTCGATTATGTTTTTTCAATCTTTTCTTACTTCTGTAAAAATTTGAAATTACTTCAACAACATTGCCATTATTTGTAACAACATTTGTTTAGCACAAAATACTTTTCATTTATTTATTTTATCATTACCGTAATGGATATTGATAATAAGTGAGTAACAAAAAGTAATAATTACAATAATAATGAAATTATCGCAAAAGACCGGACAAGTTAATTCATTCTGGGAAATAATTTTTTCATGAAGACACTTCTCGAAGTTACTAATTTCATGATATCTATCTTGCTTAATTTAATCACTTTATTTATTTTGTGTTATTTAATTATGTTCGCTTTGTTCTTTTCGTTTTAAAATTGCTTTAATTATTACACATAGTATATTGCTTATATTGTTTTTACATAAATATTTTACTTTACGAATTAATTTTGAGTTTCATGTAATTTAGTTTATGTTTGATATTATATGTTATTTATATTTCTGTTTGTAATGCTTGTTAATACAGCTAGCATTTTTTTACATTAATCTGCGTTTTCTGCAGTCTTCCAAAAATTAAGCCAATAAGAGGGTGAATGCGAGCTTGATAAAAGTATGCGCTTGCTGTATCTTTTAAGATTAAGTAATTTTTCGAAAAGCATAATCGTATCATTCAAGTGCTTTGTTCATTCAGTTTTTTTTCTTACTCTTTTCTTAATGTTTTCAGGTTTAGTCTTCGTGAAATCTTAGAGTTTTGGGCAGAAGAATTGAGCACTGAAATAATTAGTAAACAAAGTATGGATGGGAAGGTCGAGAGTGGAGGTGAAACTGGTGGTACCAGTACTCCTTCTTCAACATCATCGAAAAATGGTCGAAATATTGATGGTTATAATTGCTTATTGCTTTGTTTTTTAAGCTTTCATTATATAATTTGCTTATTTTTCATTTCAAGAATGTACATTATTATAAGTGATTTTAATATTTATGCAATGTTTGTGATTCCAAAACTCTTGCATTCATCGGTTTTCAGATAATCACGTATGGACAAGGGTGCAAGACGCTATCGCACCATCTGACAATATTGATTTGATCTGTGAAGGTTAAGAACTTTTCTTATATACTATTTATAAAAGCTTTTGAATCTTAATAAAATTATTCTAGAAATAACTATTTTGTATTGCAAAAATTTTTCTTATCATCTGCAAAGTCTCGGAGTAACTTTTATTGCTCACCGTGTATTTCTGTGCTTTATTTAACAGTATGTGGATGGAAATTTTATATGATGTTGACATTTTCACTGAGCAAAACAATTAATTCTAAATTCTAAATTAATTGTTTTACGTTTTAGATAAATGCTTTCGTTTCATTGTAATTTAGTTTTTCTATGATTTTTCACTTTTTCTTCTGTGCTTTGCGAATATAGAAAATTTCAGAGTCTATGGGGCTGTCTTCACCATCTACTTCTCCACCGTGTTATAGATTTCCAAGTGTAGATGATAGCATAGCTGGGTCGTCTGCACAGCAGCTTTGTATAGGTAAATCTGTTGACTTTATCAAATAAAAGCTCCAAATATAAATGACCTTCACTATTTTTTTCTCGATTACAAAAATTTATTTGCTGTAGAAAGTGAGGTAACAAATTCAATGAGTGGATTTCGATTCCAGAATTTTCAATGTATTGACTTGAAAATTCTAAATACCGCTTTACATTCTAGATTTAGATAAATACTGACCGAAATATAACATTTTTTCTGCTGCGTTCTCATTCTCTTTAAAAAATTGCATGCAAAAAGCCAGAATGGTAAAGAAGATTAGGTTTCAATCAAATAGGAAAGTTTTATTACGTGATTTCAAATAGTATGCATATATTTGTTACGTGACTTCAACTAATGTGCAAGGTATGGATATTAGTTGCAATCATAACAAATGCTAACATTTGAACTAAATTTTTTTACATTTAATGTAGTAAATTACGGACATTTTGAAAATTAGAATTATTGATATGCAATATGAATCTTTTAAGGAACAAGTAATGATGTGCGAGAACTTATTGGAAAGGGTAGTTTTTTGGACGCCGCATTTACAGCATCTATGTTGAAGAATAATAGGGATGCTTTGGGCAAATTGCACCAAGCAATTGATAAAAACGAAATTTTTGATATTGGTTTGTGCACTGCTTCATGCTATGCTGGTTTATTCAGGCTTTATCAATTTTAAATATTCAAAATTGAAAGGATTTTTAATAGTTTATATGACTTTCTAACAATATTTTTCAGACGATGTTTCATTGGTTGATAATGTTTTTGCTTACAAATTCCATAATGCAAATAATGTCCAGGATAAAATAAGCGTTTGTGAAGAGTGGTTAAGCTTCTTGGCTAAAATCATTCCGACTGCTACTTCTAGATGGCTTTCGCATTTTCAGTTCAGTGTCTATTATACATTTCACATGGTATGAATTTACAGCACGTTTAGTTTGGATATTTTTCTTCTTAAAAGCTTTGAAAATGTTTCATATTTAAAATTCATACTGAGATAGTAGTGTAAGGTCTAAGTCTCTGTAAGCTTTGAAATGAATTTTAACTTGGTTATTGAAACTTCCTTTTCGGTATTAAAAAAACATTTTGGAATTGGCAAATAATAACCTATTCCTTATTTTGAAATTGAGTAAAGCGGAATTTTTTTATGTGACTGTAATGGCTTGGTCTAAGGTTCTATTATTATAATAAAATGTCGCGATTTTCAGCTGTCACTTATTTTTCGTTATTATGATAACAAAGACGAAAAGAAACGCTTCTACAAAATTTCGCTTCCCCTTTTCAGGTGTGGATTTTCTGTAATTTATTGCCGTGCGCAAAAAGTTTAGTAACTTTTAAGTTAAATCTTTGATTTATTGTAGGAGTTTATTACAAGCAACAGACCTGATACCAGAAACTTCCGAAGAAATAGTAGGTACAAAACTGGATGTTCTTTTAAGTGTGTCATTTATTGCCTTGCACTTTTATGATGTCAGTGACCAAGAAGTTGTGAAATATATTGAGGTATTTCAGTTATACAAATATAATATTCATTACTAGTTTCGGTCATTTTTCACGCTAAAAAATAGTTCTCGTCCTTTTTTTGTAAAAAGGCACTTCAATATTGTTTGCGGTTTTTAAAACAATTTTGAAGTAAATTGTTCAGTCTTTGTTTGGGACCAGAAAAGTACAACAAAACTTGAGTATTTTTGTGGGTTTCTCTTACCGAAGATAAATTAAGGTTTGCCTTCTTAATTTGAATCTTTGTTTAACAAAAAAGATCTCCTGAAAGGTGCACAAAAACTATTTACATAAACCTCTTAAAGTCGGTAATTTGCTTTTATTTTATAGAAAGAAATGCGTTCTGTAGGAGATGCGGTAGCCGGAAATTATTCATCGGAAGCAGCAACGTTGATGGTTCAGAAAGTTTTCCGAATAAGTAATAATTTGGAAGAGCGAAAGCGTTTACTCAACGATCGGGTAGAATATCCATCATAGTTTTACACTGTTTTTCCTATCATCATGTGCCTTTAATTCTAATTTATACAAATGTTGTTGCCTTAATAATTTTTCCATTCTTTCTCAGAGATCATTCATTGTATTTTGTAGTGATGAAAGAGATTTTCAATCACAATTTCTGTTTCCTTTGAAAAGCTCTTTTAACTGCATTTACTTCGTTAAATTTGTTGAAATTCGTTTGATAGTTTTGAAAGCGTGAAAATTTTCATTGTGATAGTGGTGTGTATTGGCCTGATTGCCACTTTTTTGAATTTTTATACTAGACCACAAATGGATCATGTGCATTTCAGTTCAAAGCCAAATTATAATTATTAATGTTATTTGAAATCCTCATTTCTTAGTTTTTTCTACTAGTTTTTTACTATTTCACTTACTAGTTTTTCATGATTGAGAGGGATGTATTTAGTACTGATTATTAGCAAGCTAGAGTTTGTCTTTTTTAAAATTTGAGTATTTTGATTTTAAATTGCATAATTTTTTTAGCTCAACGTTCGCACTGTGATATAATATCAAATACATCATACGGATTAAAATTTTGTTTTCGTCGATTTCACTGGCATAATGCAAAATGATCATCAGAAGTTTTCCGAAGATTATGTAATATTGTTGATGTACGTCATATGTTTCTAATTTTAACATTTTTATTGCAAAATTCCATCGAGTAAGATATTGTTGCTAGATGATACTTCATGACCGCTATTTTGACCATCTTCATCTTCATTTTCACGTTTTTGTCCAAGACTACCACTGACGGTTGAGGCTTTTTGTGTACTAACTTCTTCTTTGGCCCGTCGTAACTTCTCTTGTTTACGGAATTTGGCACGTCTATTTTGAAACCAAACCTGGAAGGGAATTAGTTGTTGGTAACTCAAGTATTCTAAGAATAATTCGTTTCGATTTTTTTCTGCTTTTTCTAACAGAAGTGAATGGGAGAGGTACATCACAGGAGGTGAAGTTTTTCTCACAAATTTTGCATAAGCAGATTCTGAACGTTGCATACTTGCACTCGAGCTTCTGTTAAATCAATTCGCATTGCAAGATCTTCTCGAGTGTAGATGTCAGGATAATGGGTCTCGAAAAAAGCACGTTCCAATTCTTTTAGTTGTGCAGACGTAAAAGTTGTCCGGATTCTACGTTGCTTTCTCCTTCCAGTTGGGTTATTTCTACCACAAATGGCACCTGCAATTCAAACTTTTAGTCATGGTACATGCAAGCTACATTTTTTCACGTCCAATATTGTAATAATTAAATATACTGATTCCCAGATAATGAAGTAAGTTTTTATCTGTCCTTTCATTTCAACCAATGAATTTAAAACCAAAACTTTTTAAATAAAAATTATAAAAGAAAAATTTGTAATATTATGAGTAGCATTTATTTTGCACAGTCTTCCCATTATTTTGGAGAATTATGAAAATTATGGCATGCAACCTTCAAACTTGAAATAAAAATAATATGCCAACCAACGAGCGATGATCCTTGTATACCAGCAATTAATCCTGTCGGATCAGCCCTCATCGCATCTGCTGAGAGGAGCGATGTTTGATTCTGGTAAAGCTTGTAATGAAGCCCTAAATTTATGTAAGACATTATAAATGTCTAAAGTTTAATTTGAATTTCAGAAATTTTTAATTCTATTAATAAAGCAATTCAAAATATGAATATTTGGCTTGATAAACCAATAACTTAGCTTAGTTTTCAATGCCAGCGCAAAATAGTGCTAAATTTCTATTAGGCTTGTGTCATTAGGTTGGTATTTTCTAAAAATTCAGAATTTTCAACCGCTGTAAATTCATTAGAGTCAATAAGACTGGGAAATAAGTGTTTCTGTAAAGAATAATCTGAAGCTAGTCAGTAAATTTCCAGAATTGCAATAAAAACTTAGAAGTGTTTGTAAATAATTCTTGATAATAACCAAAACATTTGCTGAACAGAAGCTGTAGAGGTTAATCCTAATATTAAATCCTTCACTAATTTGACACTTTCTTAGCCTTCTAATGCTATTGCTTGTAAATTATTTTGTGATGTTTGATAAGTAATTGTATTTTTAAATGAATCACAATGTCTTGGACTTCTTTTCACATATAAAAAATGCTTTTCATTATTATATTTGTTATTGGATTAAGACTTAAATTAAGATCTTCACGTAAAGAAGAAATAAATTTCAATTTTATTCATGTAAATAAAATTAATCAGCAACTCTAAATATACTTTCAATTTGAATTTAAAAAGAAGGGATTAATTCATTTATCTAAAAAAGCAATTCTAAAGTTCAGAATAGTATCTACCATTATTCAGAACACTTTTTTAATATTACAAATTGACATTTTTAATTAAATTTTGGTAAAATAGGTCAAAGTTATCAAACTGATTGAATAAAATCCATTCATAAGCTATTAAGATAAATTTTTACATTTTTGCATCAAAAAAGTCAATTTTCAAAATCACATAAGTATTCATGGTTTTGTGCATTTTATTTGATGAAATTAATCCAAAACACCTGTTTGTAAGAAAGCTTGCAAAGAATCAGAAGTACAGTATGACTGCATTGCAGTTGCTGCAGAATTATTTTGAACTGAAGTAGGTAACACTGTTTGAGGATGCGCAACCGTAAGATGATGCCTAAATTTGTCCCAAAAAACTCTTCATTAAAAACTAAAATTAGTGGAATTTTTAAAAAATTGTAAAGGATTATGCCAAAAATCATTTCTTGCATTTATTTTCTTTCAAATAATCATAAATTTACCTGGAATTTCCAGCTAATTGACTATATGAATTAGCATATTGTTCATAAAGTCCTTGTTGCTGTTGATGATGATTTGTGTTTGCATATGTTGTAGACATTGAACTTCCATTGGTACTTGTGCTTGTCGTGAAATTAAAGTTTGAATTCAGGTTAAATGGATCAAATGCATTTCGTTCACTACCTGTTGTCGTTGCGGTTGTAGCAGAAGCAGCAGCAGCAAAATAACCACCGTAATCCATCATATTCATCCTCAATGCGCTATTTTTTTTCTTAAAAGTAAAAAATTTTGTACGAATTGACTTGAGATAAAAGTAGGTATAAACAAATACAGTATTTAATTACTGAAGTTTTTTCAGTCATTTTTTCATCGGTTTACAATCACTAACTTTTCCACTCATAATAGAATATTTTCTTAAAATTTTATTTCAGTGAAAAAAGCAATATTTTGCAAATTTTTTGAGAGAAATTGTGGGAGTTGTAGTTTTAATTAAAGTTTTCTGAAACACTTTTAGTTCAATGATGTACTGTAGTTAAGTTATACAATTTTTGATACAGTTGAGGAAGTAGTGGTATTAACTTTCAGTAAATCATTTTAATATAAATCAAAAACGTGTACTTCAACAGTTCAGAGCAATCAAAAAATGTTTAACTATTTCATATTATAATGATAGTTGTAGAAATGGGAAATGAAAACAGATTTAAAATTTTGATATTAAGATTCTGAAAGTTTGAGTTAACTAAAGAAGAAGTCAGCAAGTATTTGCATTGAATTTTGCTTGTACTTAACGTATGAAAAAGTTTATTACTGTAACTGTAATAAAGAATAGAAAGTTTAAAAAGTTATGCTCAGAAAAAAAGATTTAATTTAGTAAATATTTGCACCTAATATTTATTTGATACAACATTTAGCAAGCAGTTAAATCCGGTATTAATTGTAAATAATTATTTAAATTACGGTAAAACTTTGCTTCAATAATACTGTCTATGACTGTTATTTCCTTAATTTAAAGCAAAAAAGCCTCTTAAAAGATTTTTCGTTTGGTTTAATTGCTATCGTAAAAGGTACCTTGGTACTTTGTATGAGTAATTTTAGTAATTGCAAAAAATAAAATATAATAAAATATGAAAAGTTTGATAAATATGAGTAAAAATTTTTTATTAAGTATTCATTTTACTGGGCAGTAAGCCATTTTTATCATATTTAGTTTTATACTGCCAAATTGTAAAATTCTTAATTGTAAGCTCTCAAAAACTATCATTTGAAGTAAAATTGAGCAAAAATATTTTTCAATTAAATTTTCATTACTGTAATAGCACATTCATAACAAAATATACAGCATTAACTTAACTAAGTAACAAAAAATGAATAAATTTGAGGGTGGAATGGAAAATCAAATCTAACAAGCATTTAGCTTCCGTCAAAATGACCGTATAAAATCGCTTTTGATTATTTCTTGCAAAAGTCTATGCACCAATGATTTGGGCTCCACCTTCAATTTACTTAATATATCTTCTTCCTTCTCCACCCTTTCCTTCTCTTCCACTACATTTTCCTTCATTCCCTTTATATTTTCCTTTTCCTTACCTTCTACCATATACTTGAAAAAATATCTCTAAATTTTACTAAAACCATTTTTAAAGTTTTTCAGTCATTATAAACTCGTAAAACTACAGTAGATAACAAAAATGTTAGAATAAATGCATTACATTTATAAATCTTAATGAAATTAACAAATTTAAAGTATTTGTGAGGAAAAAATTTAGATGGATAGATCAAAATTATTATTTTATTTTTATATTATTCTACTATTAGTACTATTCTAATGATGATGATGACTTGTAATTCATGTTAATATTGATGATAATAATAATAATAATAATATAAATAATAGTATTATTATTAGTATTATTTTTATCGCAATTATCGTTATTATATTTTTTAGAAAGATTAATGGTCAGTTTATGAAAAATTCAGTGTTTTTTCATCCGAATCACTCCATTGATTTCAATATTTACCGCAAGTTAAAAAATATTCTAGCCAATTTTATGAATACTTATGTTTCAATCTGTAGCCAACTACTGCTTTAGCAATGTCTCCTTTTAAATGATTAAAATAAAATACTATTCTATATCTTGCGATAATTCTTTGTAGAAACAAATATAATTGCTTCAATCACATTTTCAGCTTTTGATGGAAACGACTTCTCATGAAGTTAGCTTTAGATTCCCTTCGAGATGGAATATACTGCGAATGATAATTAGAACTGTGCTTGCAAAAAATTTGCTTATACATTCCATATTATAATGGCACAGTATTTGATTTTTTTGTGAATATGAAGAAAATGTGCGTCGATTCATACACAAACATCGTCATTTTATGAATACTTCTTAAGATTCAGAAGAAGAATATTATATTCTTCTTCGATGTAATGCACAGCTTGTGTTATCTATTCAAAATGGAACTTAAATGGACAATTTTCATGGATTCCCTTGAATTTTGCATAATTTATAACTTTATTTTGTTCGATTTTTCATCTCTAATCTCAACTTGTTTTTGGCTGCAATGCTTACTAGGAGTAATAATTGGAATAAAATAGACAAAATATTGTCCTAAATTGGCAATTTAATGATTGTGTCCAAAGTTGGACGTTTGCATTGCTTGGAAGGATTATTTATCTCATTAGTAACGATCTTTGCTTCTGCTAGCAAAGACTACGAGGAGGAAGCGAATTTATAATGCACTGAAATTGAAACTATCGTATCCAACTAGTCTAATCTTATTGCAATTTGTTGCACAAAAAGTAGCCCAATTTTGTCTGCATGAAAACTTTGCTGTATATTTGTTGTGCATTTTATTTTAATTTTTCAAATTTTTATCAAGTTCCAACATACTAAAAGAAAATGCATTTTAAGCAAAAAAAAATGCGGTTATAAAGTCAGTGACATTTCACTGCTGTTTTATAAAAATTATACAAAAATTATAAATAGTTATAAAGTATTAAGTATATTTTATAATAATAATAATTAATAATAATAATAATAATAATAACAATAGAAATGATAATGATAATAATAATAGCAATTTAAGTTTATTGAGTCGATTCATTTTGACGTAAAGGAATTAATTCTTCATGAATTGAACAAAAACTCTGCAGATTTTATCAGTTAATATATTGTTTTTCCAACTAATATTAAAACTTTTGCAAAGCATATTCTAAGTTTTATTTTATGAAAATTAACAATAAAAATTTGCATGCACAATGCACTTGAGGAGGTCAAAATATTATCATTTCAACAAATTCATAAATGGTAACTTAGCACTCAACATGGATTACGATTTAAGTTGGTTAGCTTTCAAATCCACTCAAGAAAAATACATTAACAGATGTGTTGTTAGAATGGTTATGCTATTCAGAAAAGTAATTGCGCAAACAGGAGCACTTGACCTTCAACCTCGTGATAATAGTAAAGAGGCCAGGATTTAGTGAATGAGAACTAATTTCTGACAATCTGCATCGTCTCTTTAATAATCAGAATTAGTTCCAGATTGCGCGAAAAATATGCGTAAATTGCATTTAATTATTGTAATATTACTTACAAAATAAACTATTTCTCGTTGTCTTTCTCATATTCTCCCATGGAATCTTTATCTTTTTACCAAAATAGTCAGGTATTTATCAAAAATCTCACAACTTAGCTGTTGTGCTAAACAAGATGAAATCGCCCAGATTATTCGTTCAAATTTACTTCACCCACATCAACCACAGAAACTACAATTGCAGGCATTAGCTATCGTATCCCGTCGAAATCACAATTTTGCTCACTGTGACTCTGAGCTCTAAAAACAGATCTTCACATCTTAAAGCCCTTTCCTTGTCCCTCTTCTGAAGTATCCTTTATGTTTTTACTAAGTCTAAATAGCTCATTACTTTAAATATTCAAATTTCTTCCACAAAATAATTATTCAAATTTTTCTTCACTTCTTTATGCACCATATACAATTTTACAGGTATTCAAGCACAGTTATTTATCATATGTGTTACTACTACGTTTTTTTTATTGTTGTGTGAATTGTGAATTGTAATAAAAGTACTTAATTTAATGCATTTCATTTTATACATTTGTACTCATTTTTTCACTAAAAAACATATCTTTGCATAAATGTAAAAGTCTGTTCTTGCACTCAGAATGTCATTTAATATTACTGTATTATATATTATTCAACATTTTTATAGTACGAATCTGTTCCATATCTGTGAGTGTAATGTTTACGTGGAGATCCGAGTACCATATAATACGATTACGTCATTCTTTTCCGTCATAACGGCTGATTGCTGAAACTTTGTTGTTGCCTTCAAACTATTCTTACCGTATGCGCCATGAATTTGAATCTCTGACATGAGAAAACCAAACATAAACTTGTACAGGCATAATGAAACAGTGATCCCACAATTAAAATCCGCGAAATTAGACAAATTCCTAAAATAAATGCTGCAATTCGTGTTCCACTGAGTGTGACTAATTTTAATGTACACATTGTGAAAAAAGTAAAATTCAGATTTGTTTGACTTAATTATACTTTGCGTATGAGAAAGTTTATTACTGTAACTGTAATATAAAATAAAAAGTTTTGCTCAAAGAATAAGATTTAATGTATGAAATATTTCCACCTCGTCATTACTTTTGGAGTGCTTTCGTGGAATATTAATTAATTTAAGTACTTTATAAAAGGAAAAATGAATATGGTGCAATTATGCCATAAATCATCAGCAATAAACAAGTAATTAACAAACAATTATTATGAAAAATCAATAATACAATAATAAGACAAAACACTAAAAAATACCACACAATTATTATGCCCACCACAATAATGCCCGTAATTTAAAATCTTACCAGTATGAGAAATTTTTCTTAAGACGTGCTTAATTGACTTCATATTTCACGGTTGGTCGAGGTTCAATTTGAACTAAATTTCTCGTCTTTAGTTACTATACAAATTAATTTTAATCCATGTGCTTAGTTCCTTTAAATGCTCATTTCTTTTAGTTTTGATAGTGATTCCCTTAATTTCAAATTTTTTACTGGGTTTTAGCTAGCAAAATTTGACAATGAAAGCACGTAAAAGATAAATTTATGAGTGTATGTGTTATTCTGAGGGATGTTAATTCAAATGTTACAAATTCATTTAATTTGTTCGTTTTGTTTTGTAATTACATTAAAAAGTTTAGAAAATTTAGTACTTATTTGGCGCCACTTGTTTGCGGAAACATTCACGATGCAAAATTTGAGGTCAGTTACATTTGTTTCTTACAGAAGAGTGTTTGCGCTGTAAGTTATGTGTAACTTTGTTGCGTATGTAAAAAATTATTTGGTTTTAATTAAAATAATTCTATTTTCTTTTACGTGAACTAAATTTACGTGATCATGATATTTTGTTTTTTACTACTGCTAACATTCTTCGAACTTCTTTATTTCTGTCATTATTTCAAGGAGTGATGAATGCTGTAGAGAAATATTATTTACATTTAAAGTCTATAGGAAAGCGAAAACACGCCGTGGAAAAAGGTTTCTGGAAGAACGGCAGCCAAAAGTAGTTGAGAACGAGAAAAAGGCGCTTCTAATCAGAGGTGGAAAAACAAGTAAAACGGTGAGCGATGCATTAGCTGATCTTTACGCTTTGAAAAAACCAACGGCAATATGTTATAAAAGGTCATTATTTGATTTTATTCTTTTTAAGCGTCTTAAATTTTTATTTTGGTCTGTATTTTCATAGCGCGCTCTGCTCATTAAGGTAGTGCGTATTTTTATCGCCAAAGCAGTTTGAAATATTTTAAAATGAAATCAGTTTCAAATTTTCGGTTCTTATCAAATTTAATTATAGAATTATAGAAATGATTGACTTTTCATCGATTATTTTTCACGTTATAAACAATTATTTTTGTGGTTATAGAATTGATTAATTTTTTATGCATTTTAGACGTAACCCAATTCATCCGTTTGATAATGACGTTGAACTAGAGAACTTTACTTTGAAAAATGATGCATCTTTATTTTTGTTTGGCTCCAATTCCAAGAAACATCCTAATAGCTTGATTATGGGACGTATGTACGACTATCATGTACTTGATATGGTGGAATTACAGATTAAAAGTTTTGTTAAATCCGCTGACTTTGATGTAAGTCTTCTGCAAATAGAAGTTCTTCAATAAGATCTTTTTTCTGTCTTCAGGTATTTAGACGAAAATGACAATTTTGTCCGAAATACCAAAATTTAGTAAATATTGAGCCTTCTTTCGAGTTCTTTTCCGTTTTTACTTTTTTTCTTAAGCTAAAAATGTTAAAAAAAATCCATTACAGTCGGCTAAGGTATTTGTTGGGTGTAAACCGTGCATAGTTTTACAAGGAACTGAATTCGAAACGAATGAAGTGTTGAAACGGGTCGGTAACTTAATGGTTGATTGGTTTCGTGGTGCTGTAGTTGAAAACATACGGTTACAGGGACTAGAGCTTGTTATCTCTTTGACTTATCTTGATGGACAAATTTACCTTCGAGTTTACAGGTGAGAAGTTTATGTTTTAGCTGCATAATGCAGTGCTGAGTATGTTCTCAGTCACCACCATTCATTAATACCTGTCTCTTATAAACTTAATTACTATGGTAATAAATTCTTTTAATTTTGTAATTTCACTTTTTGTGCTGATGCTTTAAATAATAACTCTGTAATTAGTATTTTACAGGAATTTTATAGAAAATTTATGCAAGTTTAATAAATCTTAAACATCAGCGTGTAGTTCGAAGTTCCTTATTGTAATTTTAAAACTATATTCTTTAATTTTGTTTCTCAGTGAAAGTGCAAAAACAATGTATTCGGAACTTTCAGGACATGTTTGAAAAAGTCAACTGGTAAAACTCCTAGAGTAGAGTTAGTCGAGATTGGACCACGCATTGATTTCTCAATTCATCGTAATAAATTTGCTAGCGATAGTCTTTTTCGAGAAGCACTTAAACAGCCGAAGCAGTTACTGGTAATGTACTTCTCGAATCATTAAATCTTGCAGCTATATGCTGTTGAGCACAAAACTTACATTGCTGTACCTATTTCTACTGGGAAAGCATAGAGAAAGTTATCAAAGGTATTACAAAGGCAAAAGTTTGGAGAAATGAATTATAACAAGCTTTTTTTTGAAATTCGTTATATAAACCTTCTTAAATGCTTCTTTAGGCGAGCCGACGGAAAAATACATCTACAGATGTTTTTGGAAGTCAGCTGGCGCGTGTTCATGTGGGCAAGCAGAACATTGATAGCATGCAAACCAAAAGAATGAAAGCATTACGGGGCGGAGTGTCGAGCTGATAAAAATTTTCAACTCATTTCATTTACGGGAAAGTTAACTTCAACTAATTAGTATTTCCTAGATCTCTAAAAATTTAATTAAAAGAAAAATTTTAGCTATAATTGAAATGTGCAATAAATACCCGAGATGCAAACGAAAAAGATGAAATTTAAGAAATTTTATGATTTCTTGTGTTTTTTCGTGGTTTCCGAGTTTCACACTTACATTCTTTCCCCATGTGTAATAAAATTTATGTTCACTCTTTTGTAAACTACGCTTCATTAAAGTCTGTCTCTTTCAAGCTTAACTAAGTATGATCAGAAACCAGATCTTTAACTATTATTTATATTCGAAAAGTTATCATCCTAAGGATTACTTCTGATTCAGCGTTAAACTGTACAAACTTCGTTTGGATAAAGGAAGAACAACAGGTTTTATGCATATATACAATTCTGTATTTCACCGCTGCACATAGATTAAACATGGAAACTGCAAGATGGTTTACCAACGAATACAGTCTAGAATGAAAAATTTCTTATTTCATAAAATGAATTAAAGCTTTTTGAGATGTAGAGCGCGTTTTTGTAATCCTTAGGTTTTAAGTAAACCGTCGAATACTGCATGAAAGCAGCGTCAAAGGTGATTGCATCATGATGAAGATTTAACTAAGTAATGATATCTTTCGAATGCTTTCCTCAAATACTCCAACTGGCTTATTTGAAGCTGAAAAGATATTTCACTGAGTATGCTACTCTATCAATTTTATGAACCTAAATTAGGAAGACAATTTTTTGTAATGAAGAATGAACTTTGCGCATCATTTCCATGTTGTAGTTATAGAGATAAAGGTACTCTGTATTGATATATGACTAAATCGCAGTACCTGCGGTGGATGTTTAGCCACTCGTCGGTTATTATTTTTCCCATATATGACAGTGTTTTCCGGCAACTCTTCTTGAAGAGTCGACGTGCAATTGGTACCAACAGAGCAACCTCGAGTAACTATTGTATGAAGACCAACTTGAGATCGCACACCAAAAACATTATTATCACCAATCTTCAGGGCATGAACAACTAGAATTGACAAGTGTGTATTTTAATTCAAGTTACTTGGATACCAGATTTTGAAAATTTGGAGTAAAAGTTATTTGTCATATAGTTTGAAAAATATTGCTTACCACAACCAATTTCGAAAACATTATCACAACCAACTGTGAGTGTTTCGCCATTTGTGCTTCTGAAATATATCGAAGTTTCTTCACAGCAAAGATATGCTAAATAGCGGACATTTGTTTTATTTACTTACAAATTCTCAATTACAGCAGTTTCCTCAATATTATTATTTTCACCAATTATAATAGGGCCATTTGTAGCACGTATTATGGCTGTCGGATGCACAACAGTACCTAAAAATATTAATTGTAATAGTAGCTCTACACATTCCAAATGTGTATGCACAAATTTTCTTTGTTGACGTTTCCAGATATAAATTTTATAAAACTTCAGAAATTACTCTCGAAAACAAAATATATCCTAATCTGAACTAACTATCAAAGCTCTTTAGAAAAATTGGATTTTGAAGAAGAACTTTGGTGCTTAAATAAACAACTAATAAAATATTTCTAGTTGAATCATCACGGCCAGTTTCCATCGGAGAATGGAACTTGGTGAATTTCTAAGGCAGAATTATTGGATTAATCTAAAAAATAAACTGATGAAATGAGCTAGAAAAGTACCTGAAGAAATGGTTATGTCTCCTTCCAGAACGGCTTCTTTACATACTACTGCATCAGGTGCGATTGTGAATCTGCAAAAAGGATTAAATTAAATCATGTGCCATCAAAGTCAGTTTCATCGATCAATTTAATTGCGTAACTAATGAAAATTACAAATTTTTTGTCAGTTTATTTTAACACCGTCCATTACTTTTTTCAGCCAACATTATAGAATTCAACAATGCTTACTTGTAATTTTTCCCTTGGAAATAAAATTTTTGCTGGAGGTCACCTTTTATTACTTTTCAGCCATTCTGTAACTAGAAAGCTTATGATAGCGAGATCTCAATGTTATATGAATAAATGTCAAACTAACCTATCCACAATTACCATACTGAGCTGAAGAAATGAGACTACACAGATGGAAAAGAGCGAACTTGATGATCTAAAACACTCTAAAATGTTACAAATAATCTGAAACGACTCTACAGGGATCGATTTCCCTACTTTAAAATCAAAAACCTATAATACTTGTATTAACTCTAATTAAACTACGACACTAAAACTCGGACTTTAGAAGTGTTAACATAGAATACGAGAAGATGGAAACAATCCATAACTCGTAATTCGCGGTTACGGCCACTAAATTCATACCATAGTCATGAAGAAAAAGGGTGGAAAGAACGAATGGTGATGAATGGTCAATGTTAGTGTCATTGCAGCTGTGGTCAGAGCACTCATGTCCAACCTTTTATCTTATAATTATCGAATTTACATGAGCTATTTTAGCAAAAAAACCATCTCTCTCTATACTCATTATCGAAAATTACGTATCCCTACTGGACTTTGCAGTGCACAGAAAATGCAGCCTTTATATTTTGTAAAATCTTGTACAGCAATTTCTTCCTCTAATCCATAATAATGTATTAAAGATTGTAATTCTCAATATCTGAAGTGCATATCGTTATCTGAAATCAGTTAATCAGAACATTAAGTGACACAGCGATGACCATATAAAATTCTTCCATATTTAATCACTTAAAACGACTTTTATTTTTAAGGGCTACTCGTTCAATACCTTTAAATTCCGTCTGTTCATGGATGCAGATTGTTCTTCATTGGCTAGAAAAATATTTTATAACTTTATCGTGATAAACATAATAACATGATAATTATAATAAAATAAACACAATGATTAAGCACAAAATTTGACGTAATTGAAATTTATATTCATACATAAGGAGTATTACTCGTACAAACCCTAATTGCTGCATGAAACTCGCTACAGTAATAAATAAAGCTTTATTAAGGAAAAATAACAAAATTTCCATCGATCCCATAACTGTAAATTCCGATTCTTTGTTTGAGATGTATTGTTTTTGCAAAAATCAAGCATTTCAGAATTTTTAAAGTTCTTTTGTTATTCTAAATGGTAGTAAACAGCATTTCAAGAAAATACAGAAAAAGTAATAGTGGTTTTTATGAAATCGTTTTCAAATAACTTTTTTCACAATTTTATAACCATAATTAAAAGTTTAGCTCAATTTCAGTACACATCATTTTTGAATATTTCGCAAATAAGCTTCAACTGAATATGCCAAATGAATGTTGGATTTTCGAACCGCTTCTCGAACTTCGGGATAGCTATAGAACGTTTTGAGTGCAAAATCAGTGAAATTAACTGCCTAAAATCAACTTAAAACAATAATGTTGATGCTTCTTCCAACTATAGATCTTTTTTTCTAGATATCATGCAAATACAAATCATGCCCGAAACATTAAAAGTAAATAAGTACATCGGTTATTTAACCGTTATTGAAGCGCAAGTTAATGATGTTTGAGATATCGCTAATTTGCGCCCAACTCAAAATCTTATTACTATCCGGTATGTGAAAATGATATAAACTTACTAATGAAAAATTAGTAGGCTGCGATTTGAAATCTTCTTCATTTATAATGTTATCAGCGCAACTCAAATTTTTAATACTATCCAGTACCCAGTTTTCTTCCAAATTTTCCGGTTTCTTGGCACTGCATTTAGAAGCTATCAAAGTTTGACGTACTAAGCACCAATGTGCATTACATTCTTTTGCCACTGATACATACTTTTTGTTAGGTCTGTAAAAACTGCCCATTTTTATACAAATTAATATATGCTAAAACACTATGCTGGATATCCAAAATTTTTTAATAAAAAACTAGCTTTTGAAGATTTCATGGTCTTGATCTTGCTAACTATTAATAATTGTCTGCTTTGTCATCACTCGTATATGTTATGATCATTAATCAAGAATAAAAATTAGCATAATAACTTACCTTGGCAGATTATCAAGAACATTAAACGAATATAAAACAAATAGAAATTAGCATAATAACTTACCTTGTCACCCAGACATCATATGAAAATTTCGCATCGATCTCTGGACAAGGAAAAAAAATACCTATTGGTCCAAAATCATCTGAATAAGCAATCAAATTTTTACCTCGAGTAACCAATCCATTTGGAAAATACAACTGTGTCTTTACCTGAAAATTTACAATAAAATTATTTAGAACTTGCATTTTACTAATATGGTTTTAAGCAGTTATTGATTGACGTAATAGTAATAAAAACGTGAAAAAGCATTTTTCTACAAAAAGTAAGTGTAAATAAAATTGTATGAAAAAATATTACAGTAAGCAAAAGTAATTCTGCATAATTGGCGCAAAAGAGCAAAAATCATACCCGCACATCACCACGTGCTGAAACATATGTTGGCAGGATAGGTGAAATTTTTTCACGATAAACAATAATATCACCAGAATCAACTTCCATTTGAATCCAATCACCCACGTGAAGGGTTTGTGAAGATATTGTCGGAAAGTCATTAAATACAATTTCTTTTTCTTGATTCAAATTTAGAGGCCAAACTGTTATTAAATTACCCAAAGTATGAGTAATAACTCCTTTCTGTGTGGTACTATTGTTGAGATTTGGATCACTTTTTCGCATTTTCAATGCTTAGAACAGTTAAGCAATGGACAATCGTTTATGCTTACTACTCGTTTACCTAAAAAATCTCAGTAAAACATATGATTCCTTGAGCTAAAATATTCTAATACCGTTCAAAACTACTTCCAACAATGCTTACCATATCTAACCCCAATCACTCTTCACTGCACATCAATGCACCCTCAGAATGCTGCAAGCACAGTTGACCATCTTCAAAATAAACCACCACTTCAAAAGTTAAAGTGACGCTATGCAATATTGAAATCCGGCTTTAACTATTATCCTTTTATGAATAGTAAGCATATGAGTATTTGAAGAAATTTTTTTTGCAAAAATGACTATATAATTTATTATTGTTGTCATTTTTTGACAATATTTATGTAATAATTTAAAAATAAATAAATATACTTTTATAAGGCAGTGAAGTCATCAAATAAATTAAATTTGTTGCTAGCATTAGTCTTATAACTAATGCTAACACCCAAATCAAATCAAATTTGTCAAAAAACAATTGTCAGAACAACCGAGTACTCATACTGTGATACTTCTTATTCACCGTTATTATTTTTGTAGCTATTATTTTTGTTGCTAGCTACAATAAATATTACAGTTCATTGCAAAGCCTTCTTCAGCCTTTTATTTGATAAGTTAAAGCTTTAGCAATTGGAAATTTCTTCATTATATTATTTTGAGTGATAAAAATATATCGGCATGGAGAGCCAATTTATTGTAAAATAAAACCGTCTCAAAATGTTGATTAAATTGTTGTGATAATAAAAGTGAAATATCAATTATATAAAAAGTGCTGTATGCAATTATGATAAAATAATATAACTGTAATATTAGTAGGGAAAATCAAATCCTAATCCAAAAATTAAGTTTGATTTAAAATTTAACTTTCTTATTGTAGCACTGAAATATCCCATCTCAAATATCCATCTATTTGAAAATAAAAAATGAGCGATAATAACGTATGACTCACAAATCCAGTATGTATACAATGCTCATAAATAAATATATTTTTATACCAAAACAATGTATCATCAAGCCTTTTTATAATTCAAATACTGTGAAGAAACTCTGTAAAATTCATATCAAAAATAAGCATTTTCGATACAAAAAATTTATATATTGAGCAACTTACTAACTTTTGACTTTTTAACTTTCTTTTTTTAGTGTTTTTGCGTGAACTTTTATATTAAAAATGAAAATTTATTGCATACAAAGTGACTTACTTCAGTGCTTAGTAATTTACTGTATACATTCATCAAAAATTTCAAATAATTAAACTTAATAATCGATGAAATAGATTTAAAAGTTGACATTCTGTGAATATACTGTCAAAATGTGCATATTTCTTTAAAATAAAAATTATTTTCGATAGGAATTTGTTGACATTTCTATTAGGATTAATTAGCGTAAGGAAGTATTATTCGGAGAATATTTGATTTCAAATTCATGACAAATCTTTACATTGCATTTTGACTTTTACTGTTTAATATATTCACACAATAGCACTAATTTTATTTTTGCTTTGCTGTTTTCTTTGATTGGTTTTTAATATTCTTAAAGACTGAATCGCTGAATTATTACTAATTTATTTTGATTAATTTAAGAGATATAGTTAATTCTGATATTTAAATTTGAATCAATAATTAATACTAATTTATTTTGATTGATTTAAGGATATAGTTAATCCTAACACTTAAATTTAATTTCTTTTTTCAGTTACTTAAGTGCTAAGTTCATTTCTTCTTGACGACAAGTTTTCTAAAACGAATCACAGTTCTTCACAGATTTGATCAGTGCTTTTTTTGAAGCTCATTTTGCCATATGTTTGAAATGTATGCAAGCAAATAACTTTTTATTCGTTTTTTAAATTTTGCTAGTCAAGTTTTTTATAATATTTGCTGCTATGCTATGTGCTTTCTGCCACCCAAACAATACTTTAGTTTTCTCTTTGCTTTGTGTAATTGTGTTATTTTCTCATTTTTCACTTCAATAACTACTAAAAATTTATTTTTTCTTTGCTATTTATCTAATCGAAAAATAGTTAATATTTTATCTGTACGAATTTAGTTATCAAACTGTATAACAGTTCATTTAATCAATAACAACTTTGACTATTATTAATTACAATTACAAATTATTTGTACAAGTATTTTGCCATATTTGCGTGAATCATTTAGCAAAATTTTATCCAAACTATCAAATTTTTGAATATTTTCAGATTATTCTTTACATTTTATCTTTAAATAGTAAATAAATAAATAAATAAACGAATGAATGAATGAATGAATGAATGAATGAATGAATAAACGAATGAAGAATAAGTACACTTTACTTACTCATAAAATTGAAGTGATCGAAAATGAATATAGAATAATTAGTCAAAAGACTTATAACAATTCATAGTTACTAGTCTTATCTTTCAATGCTTTCATTTTTTTTTCTATTTCTAGATTTATTTTCTACTAAATTGCAAGCAATTTATTTTTTGCCTAAAATAAATAATGATCGAATGCATTTTGTGCCTTATTAAATATATATGTGTTCAAAAATTTGATTAGAAATTAAATCATAGAAATGCAAATTTTGATCAAATTACGTTATGCATATGTATATGCAAAGGAAATATTGTTTGTACACACTCTCTCGTGTTTAATAATGAAAAACTGGAACTGATATCAGGAAATTTGATTAAGGTAATTATAATTTATTTGGATTATAATAGCATATGTAAATGAATTTGAATCAGCTCACTCACTGTCCCACTTTCTATGGCACTCTTTATATAATTCAAAATTTAGCTATGATATTAATTTTGAAAATTTCATTTCTTATTTATTTACAATACTTTAATTTATTTAAACTTCATTTCAAAAACCATTATTACTTTCAAAGTATTGCTTTTGAAGCTATTGAAAAATGCTGTCAGTGCGAAATATTGAAACTTTATTTATTTATTTATTTATAAAATGAAAAAAAAAAGTTTAAGAAAGTAAATTTTAATTATTACTAATAGTTTGAATTTATTACAGTTTGATTTTTTGCCTTTTAATTTTTTATTATTATTTATCGTTTTTTGATCGCTTATTCTGACATAGGCATAAAATTTTTCAAAAATTATACATTTATTTCATTCAAATTTTATAAATTTTTTATTTCTTAACTAAGAAAGTGTTGGTGATTAATTACATATGTTATAAATTCAAATAATAAATAAATAAATGATTCATTTTTGTATTCAAAAAATTTGATTTTTTCTTTGTTAATTTGCTTTCAAATAGCAACATTTAAAAATTTTTTAAAGTTTACAAATAGAAAAATAATAATATTGTACAGTAATTAATTCTAAAACTTTTTAAAATGGTTACCAATTATTATTCTTTGAAAATTTATTATTTCTTTGACATTATTATTCTTGCATTCTTTGATCTATTCAAATTAATATTATTCTTGTGTTTTTTGGATTAGGCCAACGATTAAGTAAAACAATAATCTTTTAGCCTCTATCAGTTATTAATAAAAGCTAAGTATTGTAAATTATAAACTGAAAGCTTGCATTAGCAATAGGCTATAAGTTTCCCCAAGTAGCCCAAAGATAAGTAGTCCAGATAAGGTAGTATTATCGATAAATAGCCACTTAAAATTATATGTGCCAAGTCTGACTTGATGAAAAGTATTCACATGCTGTGGATAACAAGAATTAAAGTCAATAAAGCTGGCATTACAACTGCAACTTGAAATGAAGCATTTTGCTGTTGAAAACAAACCTAATCGTTAAGACTTGGCTCATTTCTGAGGCTATTTCCTTAGTTGATTTTTTAGTCTTACTTCATTGTACTAGTTTTTGATATAATCATATTGCGATTAAAGATTTTTATACTTTTATTTTAGCTTTTTGAATATTAATTTTATGATTTTTATATAACAGCTAGATAGAATTTACAAATATTTTCATTTTAAATCTGCAAAAATTATTTACTTGAAAAGTTTACTCAAATTTTGTACTGATATCATATAATAGCATTAGTTGTTTTTTATTTACATTCTGTGGCTAAAATAATGTAAAAAACGTTAAAAAACTCTAATTTATTTTATGTTCTTAAGTGTTTTTCAATTAGATTCACTTTTAATTATACATTTTTTCAATAATTTCTAAATGGTATCGAAGTTATTGCATAAATAGTACAAAACAAAGTTTATTGCATGAAAATGCATTACAATAATTTAGTGCTAACAAAACCTTGCAAGCTTTGACATTAATTAAAACAAGCATATGTATTGAAGTATTATTTTGCTTAATTATTATCATCTAATTACGTTTGAAAGATTTTGAATTTCTATGATTTACGTTAATGATTATGATGACCTTAGACCTTTATTAAATGTATCATTGAGTAGTCAAAAGTAACGGAAAGAAGATAAAACAAGCGTTGTAATAAAGTGTGCCCTGTTATCTTCTGTGCCTCCCTCATGCTTATCCCTCCATTATCCCCAACTGATAACATCAACAACTCCACTGTTAGCACTTAACTTATTATATCCATTAAATTCATTTTCACTATACCATTCAATTCCGTTACTTCAAGTTTTTTAAGCAATAATTTAATCAGCTAGCACACACTACAAATTCTCAGCAAAATAATTGCTGTTATGCAAATTGCCATTTCTAATTTCAGTAATTAGCTTTAGCTTTGATATTTAATATCTATCTTACTTTCTCATACGCAATTTAATTATTTCTGAAGCATTGACAGCGTATTACATTTCATATTTTCACTTATGAACTTTAGACTTTTGCTCTATTTAACTATTTATCGCTTTTGGATATAACTATGTTTCATTTTCTTACATATTGCTTTTCTACTTTAATAATTGATCGTTAATTTTATTATTTTACATAATTATTGTTCTAAGTCTAAAATTAATCTCAAAAATTTAGTTTTGTCATAATCTTTCACTGACTAAAATTTATGGAGTTTAAATAATAAGCA